AATTTAGCTTCAAAACCACAGCTTTGAAGCCTCATGCGCGCCATACCCGGGAACAGAACTGTAGCTACTTGTAGCTACCCTGGGTCCGTATAAATAGTATGTTGCTATACCTCTTACACACCTATACAAGTTCAAAGCACGAATGAGACTTCAAAGCTGTGGATTGCTGTGCGTGTGTAGAGGTTCTCAAGCGGTTGACGGAAAGGGAACTTGAAGTACTATACCTGGTAGCTGCACTATAGCTACCCTAGGTCTCTATACCTTGCAAGGTGCCAACTACACCTTTCCATTCAGATGATGCAAATGATGCATTTGGCATTTCTTGCATCACCACCCCTCAAAAATCACCTCCAACACAACCTCAAAAAACCTTCCCTCGGAGCACCCTCCTCCCCCAGCATGTGCCGAGTTGACGTATACCTTTCTCGGGCCACCCCCCCCAGACCCCCTAACTACTCACTTCGTTCGCCAGACACAACTCCGCTAGCGCCTTCTACGAAGGCTGGCTTTCGTAACATACACGCAAACAAAAATATATACAACGGTTTCTTTGTTTGCTTCCTGGACCGCAAGTCCCTTGGAACCATCATAACATATATCATAAAGTCGTCTGTTCCTTCCGGATGGTGTTTTTGCTTTTTGTTCCGCCTTGTTGATTGTGTGCTTAGGTCATATACTGCAGTGCACTCGTTTCGTTTGTTTGCTTCTACCTGAGAGATGCTTCTTGCAAACGGAAACAAAAGACAGCGTATGAGACTGCAACGCTGCGCCTTGTGACCAACGACGCACCTTCCTGTCAGACAGGTTCGGTCGCTCAGCACCAAAGCCCGACGCTAAAATGTTTTGGAGAGCCTCATCGCACCTCAATAATTCTGCAGCAGTTGGTCCTTACAAAGATTGGAGTGACTTTTTCTTTTCTCGCCACTGTCAATGCCAAGTGTGCGCATTTGGACACTTCAGTGTCACTGTGACCCCCAGGCACAATTGACAACCACTGATTTGTAAATTGCAAGAAGTTCTTTCCTGCGAGATTTCCCCTTGATGTTCACGTGAAGGCTCCGCTGGCAAGCATCCAAAATTTTTGCAGTTTCATCACATCTTGCCTCTAAACCTACAGCAACATCCAACACAGCAGCGGCCAAAACAGGAAAATCTGCAATGCCGTGGAGGACTCTTGGCGCAAGTTTCCGCGCCAGATTCAGGCTGCAAGCCAAAATCCGATATTTCATCGCTTCTGCTACCCCTTTGCATCGCAAACCCTTGAAAAGCAAGCTTCGCAATTTGAAACGATGAGTTTGTTTCTGTTGATGTTTTTTCAACAGTCTTGCACACCTTCGGAATCCGCATACCTTCTCATAGGTTTGCGTGCCCGCATCACACGAAATCCGCTCTCGCGCTGTCAGTTCCACTGCCTGGACCATGAACAACACATGGCCGTCAATATCAAACCAAAAATGTTCATCGAACATTGCCTCTGCTTTGTTTGCAATTGGTTTCATACCACGATCCCCTGCCGTGCAGACATGAAATACAAAGTGGCAGTTTGAGAACAAAGCTGACTTGCATCTGGTTTTCAGTGAGTTACAAGCCTTGTTCTGCATCAGTTTCTCGGTTTTGATGCCCGGATAATGCAGGCTCCTTTGCACGTCACGCACCTATTTAATGTGAAAATGTTTTGATCTGACAACGCACTTGATCTGACAACGTGAGAATGTTATGCAATATGGCCTCATGGTCGATGGACACAGCTGCCACAACCTCATAGCACACACCACATGCATTTTGCAACAGCCCTGAAAAAAGTATCGCAACGTATCGCCTGCGCGCTAGCATTGTCATCACTATAAAGGTCAGCTTCCTGCAGTTGCAAATCATAAAGCTTTTCATGTAACAAATACACTCTACCAGCTCCAACCGCACAAACCACATAGCGTTTTCTCCTGAACATCAAGCAAGATCAAAAAACCTCTGGCAAAATCATGATCCAAATCTTTCGGAAGAGCTCCACACCGTAGAGCTTCTTCAATAGTAATGCTTGCCCTGTAGTTGTTGTATCTCATGAAGGCACAACTTCTGGCCTTCAGCAACACGCACTTGTGTCAAAACAACAATTCACACAGGCCACATATGTAATTCCTTGAATTTCCTTGACATCAATGCAACCACGAAACGCGTTTGGGATTCTCCTTTTGGAAGCAACACTTCCAACTCGTCTTCCATGTTGTAGGCGTTCTCTTCAGAGACTTGCCCATGGCCGTATTGCAGGTCAGTCTTTGGAGCTTGCTAGTAACGAGAAGTTACTTTGGGAATTCTTTTACCTGAAGTAACGAAAAATGACAGGATCGCAACACTATGCACCGTCACCAATCCTGGCTCAAGATTGTGACAGCCCTATATTGGGGTTTCTTGCTGTAAGTTTCCAGCAATCAATTGACAGTTTGAAAGGCACGCGTTGCTTCCAGATGTCGTCCCAGTGCTGCATGCTGGACTTTTGATGCCAAGCGGGAAATGATAGCAAATGCAAAAATACAAAACCACGAAAACAATATCAAACATTCGAAGTCCCACCCACCGCAAGTCTGCAAAGTTTCTTGTTAGGATGGAACTTGTGCGCGCCTTTGCTTCAGCAGGGCAGGCCTTCAACGCAAGTCTTGGTTTCGATCGTTTTTTTTGAAGCTGGAAACGAAAAGAACATTAAAAAACAAACTCTAAGGTCGACAGGTGGGACGCATCAAAAATTGGCGCTTCTAAGGTCCTTCCTGTGCCCTAGGCTTACCATGTCCGCAGCTTCGAAGCAAATGCATTTTTTCAAGCTGGCCGGCTCTCCGCATTTGTTTCTTGCCCTATTCAGGTTTCTGTAGGGGACCTGCCTAACCGCCGACACTTCTTTGCATTTTCTGGAGTGAACACGATTTCTTGTTTGTTCCTCCGTGGGCCACCAAGTTCTTGTGCAAGTTGAAGCAACCTTTGCATTCCCGTTTTTGCAGCCTGGGCTTCCTCTTCTCGCACAAGCTGCAAGGCATTGATCAAAAAGGTGTCTTCTGATCGTCCGGAAATACTCAGCAAAGCATACTGCGTAGCCCCTGGCCGGGGCGGGTCCAAGCGCATGCTCAAAGTGTCGTCCAAGTTGCAAATTGCTTTGCACTTGTAGTGGCCCGAAGGGTTCAGACCGCACTGAATCATTTCAGTAAGAACAACATAGCCCGCGCCATTCGCGACCTGCGTCAGCTTGGATTGTTTGTGACTGGTGATCAAGCACAGTGCGCGCTGACAACCGACAGCCTCACTGCCAACCACGCAGGCAAGGTTGTAGATGGAGCTGCTTTGGACATTTTCCAACAAAGACGGTGTCACCTGAGAGGTGCTTGCTGCGCAGGCACGGAGGAACGGCAAGAGATCTCCAAAGCTGAGCAGTTCAGTAAGCCGCTGAGCCGCAGCCTCCACGATCACAAGGTCAGAAGTGGATCGGCTCAACACCCGGACAGATGACAAAAGAGGCAAAGACAAGGCCTTTCCATCCTGCACCGCCTCTAGGAATTCACTCCTTGTGCAGCCCCCCATCAATTCAAGAGCAGCCAGCTCCCTGATCCAGCATTCAGTGCTTCCAGTCATATCTCGCAGACTGCATAGGAACCAGATTCGCCCCGTCTTGCTCACATAGTCGGCTTTTGCCACGGTAAGCTCGCACCAGTTCAGCTGCCACAAGACGCCCTTGAGGCTGTCATTTTCACGTGTCACTCTTTCTAACAAAGAAACAGTTGTGTTCACCGCTGGGTCTTGCTTGTACGACTGCGTGTCATCTTGGAGAACAAGGTCTGGTGCCATGGTCTGCTTGTTCTCTGGAACGCAAGCCGCCAAGGTCTCAAAGTCAATGGGCAATTGCGTGTTTGGGGGCGCCTCGGTCACCAACATGTTCCTGCTGGATTGTACCACGTAGCCATTGCCAGAGTCATGTTTGCCGGCAAGAGCGTAAAAGCATAACGGCTTGCGCTTGGCCAAGCCTTCTTTGACAAGAAGCAGCTCCTGAGGATCATGCTCTCCTGCGTCAAACCACATGGACACTGTCATCGCAACGTGCTTTTCCATATTTTTGCTGCCGTCTTCGATCACTATCTCGCAAACCCGCCGCCCACTGCCAATGGTTTTCAACTCCTCCACTTTCGTGACAAATCCC